TTTTTTCCCCAAAATATGCATTACTAACTATTGAAAAGAGTGGAATGGTCAGATAGTATCAGATGGATGGTTCGAAAAAATAGAACAGTTTGCTCTGAACTAAACTTTAGTTTTGCAGTTTTTTTACTGCAGGAGTTTAACCGGTTGAGAACAAGTTCAATTTGGTTAAGATTTCTTTATTGAACGAATATTTTATTGTGGTGAGGGGGAAGCTTGAGGTTATCAAACATAACTTATTATTTTAAAATACGGCTGTTTACACGTCGAAAACCCTCCGACAAAAGATTTTAGCCATTCTTTCCCAAATATTTCAGAAATTGTTCATTATCATTTCTGTATAAGTGAGGCAAAAAGATCTTTATCAGAACCGTAACTTAAAACTGGCAAACCGAGGCACTTGCATCAAGTAATCAAGTTGTTTTTCGTTCTCGTTGTTTCAGGTTTATAGTCATTATAAACACACTAAATACCTAGGAATTAGAAGAGACTTCAACCATGAACATTTTGATATTGCCTCAGTCATATAGTTTTTTTTTTTATTTCATGGACATTGCCTCAGTCATAATATCTTTCTCGCTACGGCCCTGTTTAATTCGCTATTTTCGTTTTGTTTTACTTTTCACACTGTTAATTTTTGTAAAGCTTCCGTTCATTTTAGTATTTACTGAATGACGTTTCGCAGTGTAAGGCCTGGTTCGCACCAGCGACACAACCACATTAACGTCATAACGACATATAGTTCTTATGTCAATAATGTGAACATTGACATTAAGACAAGTCATGGAAGAAAGCAGGTTTTTTCCTTATGTCGTTGTGTTCACGCATATTATGTTGCTGTTATGTCATTATGTCAGGATGTTCACACTACAAACCTGATAACGACATAATTCCTTCTTATCGTTATGTTGCTAGTGTGAACTAGGCTATAGAGTTTGTATTACAAGTAAGGCCTATCGTTCACACTAGCGACATAACGATCGACATAAACATAACGACATAAGGGCGTTACGTGGTTATGTTTGCAGTGTGAACATATGACATAAAAAAAACTGATATTTTCTTTACGCTTTTATGTCGATGTTCGCATAGCGACATAGTATGATATCTTTATGTCATTATATCGTTTATGTCTTTTTGTCGCTAGTTTGAACTAGGAACAGATCTCACAAGCTAACAAGCTGCCTTTTTGGTTTTAGGTTAAGGATACAATTGCGTTTTTTTTTTGGTACAGGAGAGGTGAAGTATCGTTGAAAATGAATTCACTGACCGCACAGTTGTGGCTGGCGCTTTTCAGTAAGTCGGCTGAAGTCATAATTTTTTTTTTCAGTTTTTGTCTCCATGCATGCTCTTTTTGATCTATGGCTATTTTTCATAGCTGCTTTTGTTGCATGTTTCATTGTTGTCGCCATTTATATCATAATGGTGTGTTTTGCCGCAAAATCCCCTCCGGATGGACAGGTGGATGGGGCAGACTAAAGGTTGGGAAATTAATTCATCCATAAAAATAACTAGTGCAAGCATGTCACAGAATTCTTTAAACCCCAAAAATTTCATCACAAAACCGGCTAAACTGACAAATAAGATCTACAGTGGCTGAAAATTAAAACTGTCAGTTCGGTCTACTCCACCCAACACAGTATAAAGATATTCTTTATTTCTTCGCGTTTCCTTAATGAAAAATGCTTTTTGTACAAAGGTGCTTTTGCTTATACTGTAATAACTGCAATCGTACCTTTTTGGCAAGCTTCGGCAGCGTATCAATCGAGTTTGGTCGAGCCATGATTCGTTTTTTGGAGCGATGCAAGTCTTGCTAAAATACCCAAAATCAGACCAAACGAGCCCAGCTGATATGCCACTGAGGCGCCACAAAAAAGGTACGATTAGATATTTTCCGGTGTTAAATTCGGCCATAATATATAAATCTGGCCTTATCACGTCAGCGACATCACAAGCTATATCAGACAGTAGACAAGTCTTCGGATTGGTTGGTTATGAGTTTCTGTTGGTACAACAAACCAGTTAAATGTGCGAAGGTAAGCGTAATACGTTTTTTTCTGTTCTTTTCCAAGGTTTCTTCGTAGTCAATGTCACTAGCTCTGGAAATATCTGTCGGGAAAGTTGTGATGTGGAATTCGTCAAAATAGGATGCTTCAATGACAAGCGGGTAAAAGCAATAAGCTATCTTAACTACCAGCCCTTTAAGTGCTGATATTCATAATTGACGAGTCTTAAGAAACCAATTAATGAGTGCTAACGTCCATTTATAGCCGCGCATGTCTTGTCTTCGCGAGCCTGGGAGGGAAAACTGCCTGTAATATCTCCAAAAGACTTGTCGCTGTTTTTAATGGGGGTACGGTTGGTGTAAAGTGCCATTTGGGGGAAATTTTTAATATTATCTGTCTCTTTGCCTCTTCTCTAAAATAACTGTCTCTTCATGTTTCTCCACATAGTCACGTACGGTTACACTTTCTTCCAGATTTCGCTTACTTCGATGAACCTTCTTCTAAAATTTTCGATTTCTTACAGGTACTGATGATGTATGTCACTGAAGGTTTAATCACATGCGCGCATATGAAGGATCGTTCCCTAACAACTAATAACTTAAAAGATTGTTGTTATGTTTATCACGATATTTCTGTTGCTAACCATTTTTTATCACTGGGGCTAAGCTTATACCTAAGATCATCTGATACAACATTCATCTGCGTTTATAAGAAATTATTCACAAGTGAGAAACCTTGGCTTAAACGATTCAATTCTACGAAATTGTGAACAAGAAACAGCACCCAAGTTGACACAAAGGCCCCAGAACTAAAAATGGATTGATATATCTGGAGAATACGTCAGACGTAACTGATTTTCTTAATTGAGTTCTCATCAGGTAATGCAGTTTTTGGCAGTTGGAAAATCAGCTAAAAGCATATTCATAACTTTAAATGTCATAGCGGGGCCATGATGTCCCAAAATGGGCGGAGCAAAATGCATCAGTTGCATTATCACGTAGGAAATCACGGAACTAGCTCAAGGCTATACCCTAAACTGACCCAGATCAAAAGTAACGAGAAAAAAAGTAAAACAATTAAGTGCGGGTAGCTACAGAGATATTGTTTTCATTGTAAATCCTAATTAAGATTTATAATCAATTAACACTATTTCATCTTTATGGAAACGGTTTGACATGTTTACTAATGATAGAAGTTTCTAGAAGCTTATAGCACCGACGACCATAAAATCCCATTTCCGATATTTTCTTATTTTAAACGCAATTAAATTACCGTAATTCATCTTGTGACACCAACATTATGATAGGAATTAGGTGTGTAATGTGTTCTCTGAACATTTCTGTTTTGCTGTTAATCAGATTTCGCGCAAAATGGCGTCATGAAATCCAAAAAATGTCAGAAAAGATGTAAGGATGCAGAAAGTGTGGACATTTTGGGAGAGGTTCTTACAGCACGATAGTTCAAAAACTGTAGCCAACCCTTAAGAGTGACTAAAACCTATTTAGCTTTCGTATCAACGGGGGCTTCGTTCCCTTCTACCATCATACTAGCTTGCAGGTCTCCTGTTCGTCACGTGGTATTTGCATATAGGAAGAAAATCCCTTCACTCAAGTAGGCCATTTGCCAGTTTCTTTTGTGTCTGCTTCAAACTCGGGGCGTCCTCGTGGCTAGGAAGACTGTTTATTTTAAAATGGGTTCAATGTCTTCGATTTCCATAAAAAAATTATTTCGATATGAGTAGATTTGCACAAGACTCGATTTGGCACAGAGGTAGAGGGCAACCGGGGAATGACGTATGACCTTGTTAGTCGTTATGTTTGGGAAATCTTCGGAAATGTTCGTGAAGTAGTGTTGACCTAATGAAAAAACTTCGCCTATGCATATTCTGGAGATGAAATAATCATTGTATACCTGCAGAATATTAAGAGGAGAGCTCTACCCAACTATATCTACCAGGAGCGTGATAGACGGCTCACGAAGAACTACGGCGGGAGACGGATTGAATGGAATAACTGGAACATGTATTACCCGGGATTCGCTTGCCGCTGCGCACAAAAGGCCAAAGAGTTAGGATACGATATTTTTGGTCTTCAGTTCTACGGTAACGTTTTTTAAAATTACTTGATTTTAGGCTAATCCCATGGACTTACATTTAGATTCAAATCAATAACATTTCCCCCTATTATACAGGAATTTTGCAGGAATTGTCTTGTATTCTATCACTGCAATATTACAGAGAGTTTTTGTGTTCTTTTGACGAGTGGAGAACATGTTGTTTAGTCGTCTCGTTCGCGTTTCACCTTTCGATGTTGTTACATATGTGCTTCTATAAAGTCTCTTTCAAATATAAGACCGGCCTTTGTTGAGACGCAAAATCGGCTGCTTCCAACAATAATTAAAATCCTGTCCGAAAATAAGGCTTTTGAAAAAAGTTAGACTCTTCCTGTTACAAAGGTCCACCGAGTTCGTAGGTGTTCATCGCTGCCTTCTGGAGAGGGGTTTTTGTGTGGACAATGTTCATACCAGGTTATTTCTGATTTCTGTTAAATTTGAATCATGCCATTTTCTTCTGTCAACCAGGAGAGTGTTGGGCTGGTCACAGCAATCTGCACAACTATGCAAGATATGGTTCTGCTAAGAGTGGCTGTATTCAAGACGACTACCTACCCTGTCAAAAGAATTCTCGTTATTGCATGGGTGGACGTTATCGCAACATGGTGTACCAGATTGGTAAATATCATGTTTAAAATAGTAATAAATTATCAGGACCAGCTCTTTTACTTAAGGACGATCGCGCCTCTTGTTACTGCGCTTCCTTACTGCACACGTAATTCACGTACTCCACATCAGCATACTTAAGCGTGCGCTGAGGAAGAAATATAAGCAAGTATAGGCTTGGCACTGGGTACGCTAACTTCGCCTGCAATTTACTTTCTTGGATGTTCTGTGATATCCATTTTTCTTTCCGTAGATCAATTCCTTCCCTTGTTCCATTTTAACACAAAACAGAAAGATTCTGTACGCAAGAAGTTACAAATATTTCGCCTTTTCTGCTCTCTTATGACCGAAGCTTTCTTCCAAAGTGGATCAACAAGACTAATATGTATTCTTTTCGAGGCAGTAGACGGCGCGTAAGCCGATTTAAAGACAAAGTTGCGTCAACAAACCCATTTGTAATTAAAATCAGTTTACTGCAGGAAAGCAATAAACATGTTATTTTCCAGCTTACTGTCCGGCTTACCTCGGGTTTGAAAATGCTGCCCTCAGCCTGCGACCTCGGGCAGCATTTTCAAGACCTCGGTCACAGTTTTTCACTGTACGGAATATAGTATATTCCGCAAATAACATATATGGTGTCACCAAACTCGTTTTTGAGTAGTAAGCGCTTAAAGCTAAAATTAATAAGGGTGTTTTTAGCGGGTCGTATTGTAGCTATGGTAACCTGTTATATAAAAGGAATGACCGTGACGTGTTTACCAATGATTGTGTTTTTGTATGATACCATTGTTATTGTAGTATCACTTGTTAAACAGTGGTGGTATTCATCCTTCAAAGTATATATAGCTGTTAGAGAAGTGCTGAAAACTGTTGCCAACCTCCTTAATGCCCAATTCCTTTCTCTTGTCACAGTGGACACGAGCTGTCCTCAAGTTCCTTTCGAGAAGGTTGGCTGTTTTAATGATTTCCATATAACCTCAGCCAGACCACTGCCAGATTATCTCTTCAACGATCGGGACGACAGCATTGACAACTACAGTGGAAGACGAGTTGACTGGGTCAACTGGGATGTATATGTGCCTCAGTTCGCCTGCAGATGTGCAGCGGCAGCCAAAGCTAAGAATCATACATTCTTCGGCATGCAGTTCTATGGTAAGTGAGAATTGTTTGCGGCATATTGATAAAAACTGCAAGATGAACATTTCTAAAGTAGGAAACTAGTGTCCCGCACAGGGAAAAAATATATTAAATTAAACCAATCTAAGTTATGACCTACAACAAATTCTAAATGCAAATCATTGTTTTTAATTTGCCTGATTGTATTCTAAAGGATAGTAATTTTCTATTTTGATCGAGATCTGTCATAAATTTATTTTTGCTTTTTAGTGCAGCCTTTTGATAAAAAAAAATGAATGAATGAATAAACGAGAGAATGCTTGAATAAGTGAGTGAGTGAGTGAGTGACTGACTGACTAAATGAATGAACGAATGAATGAACGAATAAATGAATGAATGAACGAAAGAATGCTTGAATGACTGACTGACTGACTGACTGAAAGAATGAATGAATGAACGAACGAAGAATGAATGAATGAATGAATGAATGAATCAACCAATCAATTAATCAATTAATCAATTAATCAATCAATCAATGGATCGATCAAACAATCATTTTTTTTTTTGTTGATACAGGAGAGTGTTGGAGTGGCGGAGATAGTAACGTACTATATGATCGGGATGGTGTCAGTAAAAGGCTCTGTGTTGACAAGTGTTACCAACCTTGTACTGAACAAAGTAACTTTTGTTCGGGAAAAAACTTTGCGAACTACGTCTACAGAATAAGTAAGATTTTTATTTTTACAATGACTGCAGAAATTCTCGCGCGTTCACTGGCTAATTTTGATTGTCAATAAGCAGATAGACACATGAATTTATAATTTATGCGACTTTTGCCTTTTTGTTATTACAAAAAACAAACTGACGTCAGCTTTTCATGCGTCTGTCCTGTTATTGACAATGAATTCCATCATAACATCGTCAAAGTAGTCTGCGGATCAACTCGGCTAAGTGACCCATTGATATCAGTTATTTTGTCTGTCTGTCTGCCTTCTGTCTCCCTGTATGTATGTCTTCCTTCTCTCTCTTCGTTGGTCGATCGATCTGTCTGTGTGCCCGCCTGTCCTCTGACTGCCTTCCTGCTTGTCTGTCTGTCTGTCTGTCTGTCTGCCTGTCTGTCTGAGCAAAACTCTGTGAACTACTTTCACAGAAATAGTGAGAGTACAAGTTGTTTTCTTGAACAAAAATTAAGAACCTGATTAAGAATTAACCTAGGTAGCGTAATTTGGCAGTAAACACCATTTATATAAGAATCTATGGAGGCTAAATTGAAAAACCCTAGGTTATTATACGCGGTTTTTTTTTCTGTATTTCTTCTCCTATTTATTTGTTACGTAGTCCTTTTCCTGCTCATTTGTTGTTTATTACTTTTTCTTTAGAGGACGGTTCATGTGAAATAAATTTCACTCCTGTGGGTTGTTACAAGGAAGACGGAAGCGACCTCGCCATGCAAGAGATTTTCCACAATGAAGTGTCGCCAGAGTTGCCGAACTTTGATGGAAATGTGCTTCCGGATTCTAGTGACGACTACATAGCCGCATTCCCAGACTTCCTTTGTAAATGCGCAAGAAAGGCAGCAGAAAATGAGTGGGGGTATTTCGGAGTAAGGGAACTAGGTGAGTTACAGATAAAAGAAATACGACTTTAGGAGAATGCTCGCTCAAATGAGTGTGAAAGCAGTGTAATTTAAACCGGTTAAGTCTGCATACGAGCCAAGTGGCCCATGCATAAGGCCCGCACTAATCTCCGGTCTCTGTAGCATGAAGTGACTAGAAGTATTTCTACTCCCCGCTGAATGAAATGCTAGTCCATCATAGGGTTACCAATCCATTTATACACCTGGGTGGAGAGGGGCATTGTTTAAGAGTAAAGCGTCTTACCCAAAAACACAACACAATGTCCCAGGCCGGCCAGGGCTCGAACCAGGACTACTCGATCCGGAGGCGAGCGCACTAATCATGAGGCCACCGCCCCTCCACAAAGTCCTCGACATCTCTGGTTTTTGTTCCTTATCACCAGTACCTTTTTATTTAGCAGAACTTCACAATTGTACGGATGTTACCGATGAAAGTAACATTTCTTCTGTTATTTCAAACCTCTATTCAGGGCTTTGCGTGCGCAGCAACCCTACCATAACGAATTACAACAAGTATGGATCATCAGACCAGTGTTTTGAGGGCAACGATGGAAAGATGTGTGCCAGTGGATCGATGTTGTGTGGAGGGAACCAGACGGCGGCTAACTACGTGTACAAGATAACCCTTCCAGGTGCGTATTTTATCCATACTTCATCTTCTACTGTTCAGGAAGACCTAGCTCAATGAAGTAACAACTTCTTTCCCAGTGCGTTGTCTTTCCCGTTTTGGTAGAGATCCCTTTTTGATCAGCGCCAAGAATTGAGACTCTGGCATTAGGAATGATTTTAGCGCGCTTAGAGTACTCACTCTCGCACATACTTGCTTTGCTGATCGGACAAGAAGCCATACTTTCTATATAATTGTCTCGGACGAGAATCACCAATAACTTCATGAATGATTTAAACGGTGTTACATCTCCTCGTGTATTCTCTTACCGTTGCGTTTTGCCAGTGGGCTTTAACTTTAACTTAAGCTATGGATTAAAACCTCGAGTCGGTGGCATCAAAATTGTCACTGTTTACAGACGATCCATTTTCCAAGTTGAGTGGCTCATAGCCACTTTGACTATCTATTAACTTAGCTTGATTTCCTGTATTAGTTTTAATCATGCGCTTAGTGCTTAGCTTAACGTTTAATCTTTGCACATTTGTTTTTAAATATAATTAAATGTTTTGTACATTCGTTTAGCGAGCTCCCTAATTCCAGAACACTATGTGTTTAAATGATCGACTGACTGGCTGACTGACTGATTGATGGATTGTTTATTTGATATAATGACTGATTGGAATGTTGGTTTGTTGGCCTCTTAGTTTCCTTTCTGTTTAAACAGGTGTTGTTGTGCCATCGAGCGACATGGCTCAGGAGGACCAAGATGAGTTTTTCAACCCACGCTTTTTCTAGAACACCAGTCGAAGTCGTCAAACAACTCGAAAATCAAATGCACAGGAATGGAAATGGACAGAGTAATGGACCCGACAACTAGCTGTAGATTTATGTAGATCATTTAGATACTTCGATACTTTGTCGATATAAGGTTATAATGAGACTTATGGGGCAGTTTAATATTTCACTAAAATCATATGACATTCAGAAAACTACCCC